TGTAAGTACTTACATTGTTCTCGCATGCCTGCTTCATAGCACTTGCGCAACCGGCACTCCTGACATTTCCGGCGCATGTACATATCCATCTCACACCTGCCACTGTTCTTGCAGATATACTGGGCCCCTTTGATGACGCTGCGTCGGAAAAAACCTTTGCAGCCCTCACAACTCAGGACATTGTAATGGAAGCCTGAGGCTTTGTCCCCACATACACTGCACACCTCGTTTCCAAGCATCTTAGGGGCTGGCCCCTTCTTCCTTTTCAGGGGAGGGTTTTCTATAAGCAGAGAAAAGGGAAGAAAGGAAAGACACTGAAATTAGATCTGAAAATGAGAGAAAAGGAACTTCTCATAATGTACATATGCTAACAGTTCTTTCATATACAGTAAAAGTCCAACCTTGGAGAAACCTGAAACATTGTGCCTAGGTGCAATCAAAGGACATAAGGACTGAAAGAATGCATCCTCTGGTTATACTGTTCTAATAATACTTATCAATGGTACATCTATGTGTTTTTGGGGTCCTAGGACTATAATAGAGATAATTCGATTATTATCAAGAACAACAATTACATCATCTCATAATATATAGGAACAATCATAGTTTAGAATTCTATTCCCATTCCATTAAATATCCCTTCAAATACAAAGCTAGAATATTGGAGAAAAGTTGAGCAATATATGTAGTCAATCAAGCAATTCCTCTTTCTTCCTACATATCTATTTAAAAAAGAATAAACAGCCATTTATATTAGACTCTGAGAGGACCTGGAAATAAAAGCTTCCTAGCTTACAAACACAGAGAGAGGGTAGCTAAAGAAAATATTAGTTCTCATAATGTGGTTGTCCTAGTCTCTCTGTGGGTTGGACACCAGAGATCAGCATGGCCTTTTCTGTCTGACTAGGAGAGCCTTTACCAGCCTGATGCCATATTAGCCAGAGAATTCTGGAAACTGATTTCAAGAGACTTCTGTTCCCACAATTCCCCGGCTAATATGGCTGTTGGCCTTGCTACTTGAGGATTATGAAAGTTAAAGTCCAACACACTTCTTGTACACTCATTTTCTTTTCATTTTCATTTTGCAGTTTCTTGAGTCAGTTTCATAGACTTTTGAAATCATGAATAACCCAGATTATCCACTATAAGCAGATGACTAGTGCTCATACTAGAATCAGAAATGCTTCTTTCCAACATCTTTCAAAAACTCAGAAAAGCCAAGCCAAATGCCTCCCTCACACACACACACACACACACACACACACACATAGACTTTTCAGACTTTCTCACCAGTTTCTTTTCCTCTGCATTTCTTCCCATGGTTTTCCTTTATTTATTTTTTTCAAAACTAGACCCAAAAGATGTTCCATATTCAACTTCATTTATCATTATACTTCTTATCCTATACTGTATTGCTTGAAGGAAGATTGTTTTGTTTTTAATGTGCAGGAACATCTTTTAAAATTTCATGCAATCCATAGTACTGTGTAGAATTCCACCACATAGGACTATCACATGATTTCATTTAACATACAGATAATTTCTTACTGTGTTCAGAACATAAGAATTAAAACAAAAAGGTAGTCTTACCTACAGGCTCAGAGGGAATCTCTGAGCTCTGGAAAAGTGCAAACACTTTTTCCTCCATGTTAAAAACACTTGTCTTCTTCCCATGGTTCTGTGTGACAAGCTGAGTGGGACCCATGATGGCTGTTTTACAGGGATTCACGTTTTTGTAATCTCTAAAGCATATTTATAACCCAGCTCAGTGTGTTTGCATGCAGTGTTACAATAACTTCATCAAATGGAGAAAAACAAAAGCTATAATAAAAGAAAAACATAATTCCTGAAGTTATTAGGAAGTCTTTTGTTTTCATATAACCTATGAAACCTTCACTATAACCCACAACAGTATCCACCTAGGCTGCTGCCTTCTACAATGATTCGTTCTCAAAGAATTACAGTCTTTCTCCTTTAAGTAGAATACACTTCTTTCTAATAAAACTCCATTTTTCTATTAGAAATATAAATATTATTTTTATTTATAAATCATACAATTCTTATACATATAATAAAAATATTATGTTAATTATTTGTTGGCTTACAAGCCACCTTTTATACAGGAGCTGATGCGAGTATAGATGGTGCTCCATCCTATTTTTCCCACAACAAAAACCTTGTAAGGTAGGTTGGGCTGAGAGAGAAAGACTGGTCCAAAGTGATCCAAACAGCTGATACAGCTGAGTGTGGACTAGAACATGGGCCTCCCTGGAGCAAAAGCATAAGTCAGCTAATAGTAACAATAAAAACCATTTTTAAAATACTAATATTTCAACAAACAAAATGTCACAGCTAATAAATCATCAAATTTGCACAACACTACATAATTATTAAAAAGCTTGTCTAAGACTGTCATAAGCAGATTATCTTAAGCAGCGTTCTCCAACTTGGTGCCCTCCAAATGTGCTGTGCTGTACCAGTGGGTAATACAGTGGTACCTCAGGTCACGAACGCTTCTGTTCACGACCAATTCGGGTCACGAACAGCACCGTTCGCAAAATTTTCCTTCCATTCGCGAACCCCCCATCAGGTGACGAACAGGATCCGCGGCCATTTTCCCTGCTGACACACGTGGTCGTGGCTTCCTGTAGGGAAGGGGACTCTCCCTCCAAACAATAACC